GGCTGGGTTTGGTCGCCGGCCCCAGGCTGCTTTTGGGGGACACCTGGTCGGGGCCACCTCCGAGGAGCGACTGCGTAATCGGCGGCATCTTGACCCCATGTTAGCGCATCTCAGGGACCCCCGTAGATGGAGCAGGATCAGTCACACAGCAGCCCTCTCTCGGCCGCCACATCTTTGCGCAGACATTGCCCTCATCGGCCATGCGTCTCCCTTTCAAGCCCCCCAGGATCTGCCTCTTTCAGCGTTGGGATCCCCAAAATTGGGAATATGGAGTTCAGACTCTCATTCAACAAATGGAGGAAACTGAGGCCCAGAGAAAGCCAACATGCCCAAGACTACATAAGGAGTCAGCCAGGAGACCCACCGAGCTCAGACCCACTGGGGAAAGAAAGCCGCTCCATTGCCCTTGCTGGAGGCCCGGGAGCCTCCCACCGGTCTCCATGGAGACCAAAAGGAGTTGGAGCCTGGGAGGTGGGGTCTGGTGTCCTGTATGTCAAATAAAAACAATAATAATATCACCTCATTTATGTTATTTTTATTGTTTATTTATTTAGGCAGATCCTGCCTCAGGTTTATTTGTACACATAGCACAGGAGGACACCAGCTCCATGCAGACAGGAGCCCAGGGATCACATCAGTCCTTCCGTCCTCACAGCTGAGCCTGAGCCCGAGCCTGAGCCTGAGCCTGTGCTGCAGCCACACCCGCAGCCTGGGACTTGGTTTCGGCCTTGGCTTTGGCCTGCAGGGCCCGAGACCCTTGGCGATGCAGGCACCAGCACGTTTCCCAAGCTTGGCGTGAGCCATGTAGGCAAGTCCACTGAGCTCACAGCTGCCGCCCTTTGGGATCTTGGGCCTGACCATCTTGGGCTTGAGGAGGGCCTGTTGGCCTCTGCTCATGCGCTCATGGCCTTGGCGTGGTTGGCCCACATCTTCTTCAGGCTCTTCTTGTGCTTCTTGGCACAGCGCATGTTCCTCAGGAACTTAGGGTCTGCCCGCTTAAGAGATTCGAATCTTTGTGATCAGGGGGTTTCTTGATGCCATCTCTGTGCCATTTTGGGGACTGGTTATGTGTGGTGTGGTTCTTAGACTTGGGTGCCACCCCACCTCTACCACCTCTAGAGGATCCTCTGTGACTACCCACACACCCACCCACCTCTACCACCTCTACCTGTATTTAGAGAGGTCCAGTATACTCTTTTTTAATATATATATTTTAAAATATTTTTATTGATTTTAGAGAGGAAGGAAGAGAGAGAGAGAGATAGAAACATCCATGATCAGAGAGAATCATGGATCGGCTGCCTCCTGCAAGTCCCCCACTGGGGATCGAGCCCACAACCCGGGCATGTGCCCTTGACCAGAATCGAACCTGGGACCCTTCAGTTCGCAGGGCGGCGCTCTCTCCACTGAGTGAGAGTGAGAGAGAAACATCAATGATGAGAGAGCATCATTGATTGGCTACCTCCTGCACGGCCCACACTGGGGATCAAACCCACAATCCAGGTGGGTGTCCTGACTGGGAATCGAACCTGGGACCAAAGTCCTGACTGGGAATCGAACCTGGGACCGAAGTCCTGACTGGGAATCGAACCTGGGACCCTTCAGTCCGCAGGCCGACGCTCTATCCACTGAGCCACACC